TCTCCCTCCTCTCTCTCTCTCTCTCTCTCTCTCTCTCTCTCTCTCTCTCTCTCTCTCTCTCTCTCTCTCTCTCTCTCTCTCTCTCTCTCTCTCTCTCTCTCTCTCTCTCTCTCTCTCTCTTGCAAGACACTTCCCTCAGACCACTTATGTGTTATGTGGCCACATCGATTTGTCAAGACCCAACGAGTTCCCTTAGAAACTTGGGGGCACTTCAAAGACGCATTGACACTTTCATATTGAATAGCGACTTAATCAAGAAGAAGCCATTGCGGTGCTTTTAAGCAGTTTTGCACACAATATGCCGAGAGCGCAGTCAAGCGGTTGTGCTAGTAGAGTTTTTACGCCCCCCCCCCCTCCCACCCAATGTCAGGATCCAGCGCATTTCTTCCAACGTCAATAATCTAGTGACAATGTCAGTGGTTAGCCGAGTGAATATGCGGGAAGAGTGAACTTCGCCGTCATTTCAAACCAAACCAAAATTAATAGCCCATTGATGCGTTAGTTCCTGCACTTATTCGCGCGTGTGCCGCATGCACCTGCTTGAAAGTGAAATTGTTGGGAGCCGCATTTGTCCACTTTAGGGATGTCAGATTGTCGTTTAATAACTCCATTAATGTCCTCGCTCCTTGTATATCTGGTATTAACACGGCCCTTCGGTATTGCCACGTATATATATATATATATATATATATATATATATATATATATATATATATATATGTATGTATACATACGTGGTGCGCAGGTACTGTAAATGTGACCCGTACTTTTACATTTACAGGTACGGTGCATGTACGCGGTCCTGAAAAAACAATGCTAGTTAGCCCCATGGCCAATCCTGGTAGACCCCCTCACCGGTTACAAGTGCTGGCTGCGCCCCTGCCAAGAGGTGTGTCATGCAGACAAACGGTGCCTTTTCTCCTTAAACACCCTCACTATCTAAGCCAACCCGCTCGCAAAAACAATAAACAAACATTCAAAGTTGCAGAACCGCAGCATGGTGCCCTGAACACGTGCAGTTGCGCAATCAAGCCAGCTAGAAATGCATAAGCTTTTTCAAAGAACTTAGTTCTGTGTATGCTATTTGAGTATGTCTCGCTCCCTCTCTGTTTCCTGCTAGATGACCGTCTGGCGCGGGTGTGGCGGCTCATCACCGAAATACGCTGCACCGCTTCCGTACACGCGCAGCCGTGCTGTGCCGGGTGCCAAGTGATGTGTAGTTTAACATTCACCGATGGCCACCCTCGTTCAGAACTCCACTAAGTGATGAAAAAACGGGTGAAAGCACTTATCTCGTAAGGACTGCAAAGGCACGATGGCGTTTGGCATCACCAGCAAGCAAGTGAGCGGCTGTTGGTACAGCCGCTGTGCGTCATCGATGGCGCAATATATCACTCACCAGTAAGATAGTTCAAGTGTAGAAAAAAGTAGCAGAGAAAGACAGCCTGCTATTTGTCGCCACTGACGAGATGAAACGCCAGGAAAAATACGCTCACTTCAACGTTCTGACATGTCTGTAGTAGCAGCTTCTACTAGCATATCGTAATAAGACACCCGCACCAGCGGCTCGCTAGCTTAAACCAGTCCTGCATTGATGTACTGTCTTTCTAGGCCTTTACGGATTACTGATATCGTTATCTGAGGGGATGCACCAAGCTAGCCTAACATAACCTAACCTAACCTAAATAGAATATTTTACCAAGTCTGCAAAGAGATTTGACATGACAACCCGAAGCAGATGGTGTGTTTTTTCCTGACTGTTTTTTTTCATGCTGTCACTTTTATGCGGGGTTTTCGCTTTAGCAAGGCTCTTGATATATACAGGACCAGCATTGCTACTGAAACTCGTAGCAATATAATGCTGTGATCAAAAAGACAAAGTGCAAACGTGACGACACGTTTGCTATTTGGCAGTGTCTGATGTTGAAAAACTGATTCAAGGAAACACAAGTTTTCTCAATCGAGAAAACATAACCCTGAAAGAATTTTGGTTGAACCAACGTCAAATTTAGCTGGCGTAACCATGCCAGGGTTTCGTGTTTCTCATCGTCGTCATCGTGGCTTTACGACGCCCTCATTCAGTTACTGAGGCCATACGGCGTCACCTGCCTCTCGCCATGGGCACCACCACGCACCACGCGGAATCGAGCGGGAAGGGTGGGCACCACGCGGAATCGAACTCCGCATTTCCGGTTGTCCAAACGCTCAGCTCAAGCACTACACTACCGGCGCCTTCTCATGCAGCTGATCGCACCTGGTTGCGTGGTAACAGACGACCATTAGTTCCTGTTGACTCTCTCGACTTAACATCGAGAGCATGTCTCCGGATGCCACGTGCAGTTTTACCAGCGTTGCCACCAGTCCAGTCGAAACCTACTGATCGCAACATCCTGTATTGCGGTCATCCCTCCCCTTCCCCAACTGTCGAGACCAGCTACGCAGACCGTGTTTTCAGGGGTGATCACAGCCCCGTCCATGTACTGCACGAGTGCCAAGGCCCACATTTACTTCACAACGACGAATAAGCTTGCGGCTCAAATCGACCACAGACGCACAATCCTCCGCACATGCATGGTCGCCAGAGCGGTTTGTGTGGCAGGCATGTCTGGCGTCAGTTGTGTGGTGCTTTGGTAGTCTCCATCCATCAGCAGGCTTGGTATGCTTCCAACAGCCGTCAACGGTCACCAGGCGCCGTCCACTGGCGACATTTTGTTTTATTTTAATCTCCCCTGTGTCAAGTCGCACGAGCAGGCCAGGAGGCATGTCGCCCTAGATGCGATGACAGTTGGCATTGGGCGCTGTGAGACATGCTGTTAGTCCGTTGGGTGTCATACGGGTCGCAACCAGAGGTCAAAGGAGGCTGTACCTTGACCAATTTAGTGGGCATAACACCACATAAATCTACCTATTGGAGATTGTTTTAAGACAATCACTCAGCTTACAAGCTATGGCAAAGATAGCACGGCGACATTAAAGGGAGTGTTTCACATTTATATAGGGTTTTTAACTGAAATAAGCTATCTTGAAGACCTTTCGATGCTGTTCACAATCCTGCCCTTCTTAAGAATGAGGCCCGCTAGTTTCTGAGCTACGCGTCCGTGACAATGAGGAAAGGCATATCGTCATAAAGGTGTATATATATATATATATATATATATATATATAACGTCATTCAAATTATGTCATCCCATACACCATGTGGCGATTAGGGCCAATAAAGGTTTAATTGCCGAGGTGTTCATATTTGGCCTTCGTGAGCGGGATTTCCATATATAACGGCCGTCAACCGGCTCTCACTCAATGTTGTATAAGGTACGATGACGTTATCAAACTATGACGCATTGATGAGCATATTTATTAACAGAGAAGTATGCTGTGAGGTTACACGACAATGTTACTGCATGTGACACCGCTGTAAGCAGCATATCATCAGGGCAGGCTGTACTTCGGTTCGTAACATGTGAGGCCATTTTCAGATGCGCGCATGTAGAGCACACCGATAACATATGTTGAAAGGTGCTATGAATTTAAACAGCTCTGGGTTTCTAATATCAGGTTTTCATAAAAGAATGGCAAAGTTGTCAGTGGGGTATATCAGCTAGTCTGAATCTTGCCCCAAAAGGAGCCCTTTCTTGGTTAACACGCGCTTGGGTGGGGGGCAAAATCACCTCACCCTGAAGGCTTTTCTGGAGTAGTTTCCGGACCGCGCGGCGTGGCCGCGCGTGGTTCCGTCCTGCTCTCTCCCATTGACACGATATACCGACGCGTCTGCCCCAATTCCCGATGCATCGACGTGTGTCCTCGTCTCCGACGTCGACTCCCTCATCCCTCCGTGGCCATCTGACACGAGAGGTTATCAGCGCCGATAGCCCCGTCGCGCGGGCTCAGCCCTGCAGCGGGGCACTGTAAGCACTGCATTGCGACCAACGGCGCATGAGCGGCGGCCGGGCATGTGTTGCACGTGCGGTGCCGCGGACTGCTGCGTTGCGGCTGCTGCGCTGAGATGCTTTCGGATGCAGGCCACCGGCCTGCTCAGGTCGCGGGCTGCGCACAGCTGGGGCGCTGGCAGGGCAAGTCTTTGTTTGGCGTGTGGTGGAGGCACTCACGAGTCAGATACCCTTTGCTTGATTCGCCCGCTGTCGATGGGCTACCGCCAAACTCAGCCGGCATTCATTCCTAGTAAGTTGTGCCCGCCTGTTGCCAAACCGCTTGCATTTATTCAGCAGTTTTGTTCTCAATTACCGAAAAAGTTTCAGAATGGTGCACGCTCAAACGTATCATTTTGCTTTGATTATTAGATACGTTGTGTGAATGGAGTCAAACATGCCAACACGCGCAAGCATTTACATCATATAACATTTATTTAAGCATGCACCCGGCACCTCGTGAGAACTCTACCCATACCTTCACCCATGCCCACAATTTCCCCCAAAATGTGCATCCGAACCATCCCGTTAGCCATCTATGTGGGTAGCCACGGAGTAGTCCAACCGTGAAATCCTCTAGTGTGCGGAGGCTGCGGCTGCCCGGCCTTCATACGCCCTCTCGTTTGAAGACCTCCAGTGGCCGATGTCGGTCGGCTCCCGCTGCCTACAGTTTGGAGGGAGACGCGCGCACCGTCACGAGAGGGCGCCGTTATGCACGCGAAGCGCGCTTACCGTCGCGAGAGGGCTCCGTTATGCATGGGAGGCGCAAGCACCGTCACGTGAGGGCGCCGTTATGCACGGGAGACGCGCGTACCGTCACGTGAGGGCGCCGTTATGCGCGGGAGACGCGCGCACCGTCACGTGAGGGCGCCGTTATGCGCGGGAGACGCGCGTACCGTCACGTGAGGGCGCCGTTATGCGCGGGAGACGCGCGCACCGCCACGCGTGCGGGGGTGAGAGAGCGGAGCCAGACCGTCCTCGGAGTCCCTCGACACCTGGTTTAGCTCCAGGCCAGATCCGTATCGATTCTCCCATTGTGCAGCTGCGTGTGACCTCGAATCCTTGTGTTTGCAGGCGAGTGTCCGGCGAACACGGTGTACATCTGTATAGTGGACCAGGAGGCCAAGTATTGCACCTACAGAGCGTTCCTGTGCGACGGCAAAGAACACTGCGAAAATGGAGAAGACGAGGACGGCGAAGGATGCAGTCAGTCACAGGGTGTCACGTAGTGTACTCTGTGGTGATGATACTTCAGTTTTGGACAGATGAATATCGAGTTTCAGTGATCACGAACTCACTCCTTTAATGAAGTTGTTAGGACATTTTCACCATGTCTTGTGTCATATGTTGATCGGCCTCGACGTTCATGGAGTGCCTGACAAAGTGTCATATTTGTGTTGTCTGCAAACAAGATATGGAGGAAGTTAGAAAATACCTTTTTGTTTGTTTCAGTACGAAAGAAGCAGAACACCGCTCAGTACTCACCGAAAATCTACGATAACTTCACGATGGATGGCACGCGAGACGACTGCAGTAAGTATGCGTGAGCCTACTTTCTTCAGGAGTGACAAGGGCCCTTGTTTTTACTATCTCCTGACCCAAAAGTCGACGGATTTCTAAAGGCTTGCTATTTTTGAAGGTGTTCATGTTCTTGGCAGATCAGCAAAGAAGTCCACGTCGTTAGATAAGAAATCAAAACGCGATCAGCGATATCCGTCACTAAAACAAAATGTAGTGCTTGCCATACAAGAGCAGTTGATTCCCCAGGGCCGTGCTCCATGTTTTTTGTCGTTTTTCGTTCATCTCGTCCTCCTCGTACTACACCTGCAGTCATTCTTTTGGTACGGTATGCCTCATCCCAGATCATGATACGAACACACAGCAAGCTAAGCATCTTTGCCTCAAAGAGCTTGTTGAGTGGGTCACTCTTATGGCCTATATGCTGATGTATGTAGCGAATAAGACGAGGATCATGTATATGCAATATACAACGATTTAACCGATCTAGCACACAAGCTATATACATATTGGAAGGCATGTATGCCATTTGTCAGATAGATTAGCATATGCGTAAAGAAGGCCAGATTTTCTTGGATGCGTGTAATGCCACCTTTTCGAAACCGAACCCACAATTAGGACATGTCGTGACTTAAGCTGAAAGAGCAAACCATAAATCTACATGGGCGCCTATTCCATTTCACCCTTACTATCAACCATCAAAAACATGTGCATTTTCCACCGTACTTGGGCCCCAGGCGTCAACAGCCTCAATGACCACGGCTCGTTGACTTCTTTGACGGGAACCGCCAGGCTGAGCAGCACATGCAGCCAACCAGCTTTCATGCAAAACGTGTTGTTGCGTTGCGTGCGAACGCTCCATCGCTTCAAACGAACGCTTCAACCTTTGCCTGCTAAGCGGTCACTACAAACAGCTTTCGCAGTGCTTTGGTCAAGCCAGGGGCGCGTGAACCGAGAGCCGCGGGGGGCTGAGATCCCCAACCTACGAGTTTTGCACTTGGCCTTACGGGCGTTTGCTGATAAGAAACGACCAAAAATGTACGCCTCCCAACTTGGTAGAACTTCCGGTGCCACTGGACTAAACCCATTTTGCGGTTTCCAAGTGTGGCAGAGTCCATTAGTCTGGCTTGCTCTGTCATTTATATGATGCTAATCGCCAAACTTCGCGTCCATAATCGCCTCGCTCCTTAAACGCTGCACGACGGGCCTTACTGGCCCACACATTTAGAACCGGGACTTGGTATCTGATCGCGATGGATTTAGCGATTTTAGAGCCTTGATGGCCGTGGTTCCTTGGATTATACAGACGCACGGATGGTGTGCATTCATGTTGAAGAGGCCTCAACCCGTCGGTTGAAATGATTTCTCTTCGGTACACGTAGAAGTTCTCTTGTGCTGGACATCGCTCAGAAGCTTGATGAGTTCATCGAAACATTCTTCCGTTTCTCCGGCGTTTGAGGGTGGACGATCCCAGAGGAGGTATCAGCTTATACAACGTTGTTAGCGACGTTAGTAATGCGTCACCAACCTGTGGCCACGCCTTACTTGGCCAACCTCCCTCTGGGTAAGGGTGGTGGTTCATTCCAGCACACGCCACGCGGCGTCGGGCGGGTTCGACGGGACCGAGTCATTTGATGTAGCGCGGACATCGCCAGGTGGTGATCGGTGCCAGGGCTACTCCGGGATGGGCATACATTCATGTCAGCGACCCCCGCGATAACGGCGACGCAGTCGGCGGCGCCATTTCGAAGTCATCCATAAGGCAGGCTTAGTGTCTTGTCTCCGTCGGCCATTCCGTCGGAAGATCTCGGCGATAGGCTGAGTGCTGCCAGCTTTCACGGCATCGCTGATCGAGGGGCGCGCGGCTCGTTTTATCTGAGCAGTTTGGCAAATGAGCTTTAGGCACGCTGGTTACGTTAGCTATTTTTGTCTTCATAATGTTGACTGGTTCTCAGTGCCCCGTCCACGGAGGTTCGAAACACAGCTCTGGTACGGAGCTAGTTACTGCGGACGTTTCTATAGTGTTCTTAGTCGGTGGATGACGTGGGCTGATGTGGTCGTATTGATGTTTAAGTTCTTGTTCGCCACGGGTCTCAGTGTCCACAATATCTATGCATCGCATGCTGATGTTGAATACGATAGAATTTATTCGTAGTGGGACATTTCCAAAGCCAATTAATTCCTACCAAACTGAGACTCAGAAATAAACATTATTAACACGCATCTGGAATCGCCTCAGGCAAAGTGGCTCCTTCATTATCATCTGCGATTATTGGCGCACTGAAAATGCCTCGTCTAGGAGCAGACTCCCGCAGACGACATCTCTGCGCGGCATACATCAGTGACGTTCTCGTCACTGGACTCCTTGGGGAGCACGGAGTCAGTATTTCGTCGAGCCCATCGAGCCGAGTTCTCCATCGATCAGTCATTATCGCAAGTGAACGGGTTCACCACTCGAGTGACACGGACGAACCAGCTGAGCGCAGGCCGAGCAGTCCCCTGATGACGAGCTGTCCGCAGAGGCTGGGTAGTCCCTGATGACGCGCTGTCCGCGGAGGCCGAGCAGTCCCCTGATGACGCGCTGTCCGCAGAGGCCGAGCAGACGCGTTGTTCGCGGAAGCCGAGCAGTCCCCTGATGACGCGCTGTCCGCAGAGGCCGAGCAGTCCCCTGATGACGCGCTGCCCGCGGAGGCCGAGCAGTCCCCTGATGACGCGCTGTCCGCAGAGGCCGAGCAGACGCGTTGTTCGCGGAAGCCGAGCAGTCCCCTGATGACGAGCTGTCCGCAGAGGCCGGGTAGTCCCTGATGACGCGCTGTCCGCGGAGGCCGAGCAGTCCCCTGATGACGCGCTGTCCGCAGAGGCCGGGTAGTCCCTGATGACGCGCTGTCCGCGGAGGCCGAGCAGTCCCCTGATGACGAGCTGTCCGCGGAGGCCGAGCAGTCCCCTGATGACGCGCTGTCCGCGGAGGCTGGGCAGTCCCCTGGTGACGCGCTGTCCGCAGAGGCCGAGCAGACGCGTTGTTCGCGGAAGCTGAGCAGTCCCCTGATGACGCGCTGTCCGCGGAGGCCGAGCAGTCCCCTGATGACGCGCTGTCCGCGGAGGCTGGGCAGTCCCCTGGTGACGCGCTTGTCCGCAGAGGGCCGAGCATACGCGTTGTTCGCGTAAGCTGAGCAGTCCCCTGATTGACGATCTTCCGCAGAGGCCGAAGCATCCCCCTGATGACGCGCTGTCCGCAGAGGCCGGGTAGTCCCTGATGACGCGCTGTCCGCAGAGGCCGAGCAGACGCGTTGTTCGCGGAAGCTGAGCAGTCCCCTGATGACGCGCTGTCCGCAAAGGCCGGGTAGTCCCTGATGACGCGCTGTCCGCGGAGGCCGAGCACTCCCCTGATGACGCGCTGTCCGCAAAGGCTGAACAGTCCCCTGATGACGCGCTGCCCGCGGAGGCTGAGCAGTCCCTGATGACACGCTGTCTGTCGACAGGTCTGAAGTCGTACCCTTCGGTGTGCCGCTGCTCGTACCGAACACGGCTGGAGTGCAGCAACAGGAACCTGACCCGGGTGCCCAGCAACGTCAGCCCGGACGTCACCCGTCTGTCAGTGTACCTCCTGCCTGTGATGTCGCGCTCGTCCGCCTTGTTTTGCGGCGCATGTCATCACGTGGCCCCTTTTGTGGGATGCCAGGGATTGCAGTGGTCCCATTAAAGAGAGTGTTCCACACTTGCATGGGGTTTTAAACTGAAATAACAATCTTGAAGATCATTCGGTGCAGTTCACAGCCCCGCCCTTTTTAAGACATAACCCCTCTAGTTTCTGAGCTACACGCCCGCAAAGATATGCAGACTACTTCAAGGACACTATTTCGAGGGTACGCAGACATCCATTGATATGGGGCTTTGAAATGAAAAACCCATCTTGGAAACCGTTCGTTGTTGTTCGCACTCCTGCCCTTCTTAGGACCTAAGCCCCTCTAGTTTCCGAGCTACACCCCCGCGAAAATGGGAAAAGGTATGTCGGGGAGAGTATGTCAAGGTGACCTTGGCATTTATGACGTCATGGTGACATCATCCAAATCCTGCCATTCCATAAACCATGCGACTAAAACTGTTGAGGCCTTCATATCCTGCGTTATGAGCGCGATTTCCGGATAAAACGGCCCGCAAGTGGCTCTCAGTCAACGTTGTGCAAGATACGATGACGTAATGAAGCCGTGCCGCATTGAGCAACATATTACCCACCGGGAGGTTGTGCTGTCTAGAGCAGTCTTTCCCACTTGAAAGCTATACGAGTGAGTATAAGTGAGCTTGTTTCACCATATGCGATGCTTGCTTCAATATCTATAATTGCGAAACATTCCCTTTAACGCCCAGGGGTCCCAGCTTCGGCCGGGAATCGGACCTGGGTCGCTGTCACCCCAGCTTCAACCGGGAATCGGACCTGGGTCGCTGTCGCTCCAGCTTCGACCGGGAATCGGACTCGGGTCGCTGTCACCCCAGCCTCGGCCGAGAATCGGGCCTGGGTCGCTGTCACCCTAGCTTCGGCCGGGAATCGGTCCTGTGTCGCTGTCACCCCAGGCCTCGGCCGAGAATCGGGCCTGGGTCGCTGTCACCCCAGCTTGGGCCGGGAATCGGTCCTGTGTCGCTGTCACCCCAGCTTCGGTCGGGAATCGGACCCGGGTCGCTGTCACCCCAGCTTGGAATCGGACCTGGGTCGCTGTCACCCCAGCTTCGGCAGGGAATCGGACCTGTGTCGCTGTCACCCCAGCTTCGGTCGGGAATCGGACGCGGGTCGCTGTCACCCCAGCTTCGGCCAGGAATCGGACCCGGTTCGCTGCCACCTAAGCTATTACACTCGCCACCTTCAATGCCTCTCTTCGTACGAGTTCTGTGCATTTCATCGCATGTGTCTGCAGCTTTACAAGCCTTTCTTGACCTTGCACCAACCAGTCAAATGCAGATAAATTAGCAGGGGATTCGCTGCATGAGCTTGGGAATCAGAAGAGGAACGTGCGTTAGACTCACACCTAGCCGTAAGTTTTAGCTTGAAAGAAGTGCCTCACTTTTTGGACACATTTCAAAAACATACTCTAGTGAAACCTTAAGACCAATTACGTACAATGAACTGAATGGTGCCACTGCAGTAGCGTCAAGACATAATAAGAACTCCAATTTTAATTATTTTCAATTCCAAATTTGCTGTCAACACTTCAAAACACTACTACACTTCTTTCCTGCAGTCATCGCGACTGTCATCGTCTTGACAACCGCCGTGGCACCTTAAATGATGCAAACAAGGGGCGTATGTGATTAGCCCACTGGGCGGCTAAGCCTTGTTACCGGGAAACGCATCGGTTGAAGTTTGAACCAGTGCGTCACTGTGGATCATGTAATGCTGTCATTCCCAAAGCCGTCCCGGTGGCTCAATTGGTTAGAGCGCCTTCCTTCCGATGCACCCACCCGTGGCGGGTGGGTTCGAGTCGCTTTAGGGCGCTCGCTATTTGCCCTTGACAGGTATGGCCTGCGGCCGGTGGCAGCGGTCGTGCCAAAGGTCAGCTGACGTCAGAGGACAGGACGGACCGTGCCGAACATCGCGGCACGTTAAGCTTTCGCCACCAAATTCTGCCGTTGACATGGAATTGAGCGATCGGGTGGTAGGGGTCAGGGCTCACACAACAAGCACTGCTTAGCGTGAGCTTTGATCCCCGGAAATCCATCCTTTCAAAGGGTTCGGATCAAATCTTTAAAAAAAGCCCAAGTACGCTTCGAAAGGGGCAGCTGTGGTAAATACCATACGGGAGAAATCAAAGTCATCGCTTAACGTTTCGTCAAATTCGCGGGTTAATAGCCTCATGTTCGCATATAGTTTTGTTTAATCAGAGTGTTTCAACCTTTCGTGGCACTTATTACACAAACATTTTGACACAGTAGCGTCTTGCAAACATTACCAAACACAAAGTTGGGGCAGCAAGACAAAAGGAAATGCGTTTTTATAGTGGTTAGCAGTGTCCAACGAGATTTCTTTCGCAGGAGCAGCTACTTAAAATCGGAATTCTGAGCTATTCAGAAGGATTTCGAGAAAACTTCTACTTCTGATCAAATCGTACGTGTCTGATCTAACTTCAAGTGAAAAGTACAAAATGTGGCATACTCCCTCGTGAATGGTGTTGTTGTGCATAGCAGATTTGACGTAAAGTGAGCCCGCCCTACACTTAGGCTGGTGTTACGGTTCTGATTCATCTATCCAGATCCACATAAACAGTATGATACGCAGGGCGCCAGGGCAGCGAGAGAAAGACCTAAAACTCGTGGAGTTTGACAGAGATGTATTGGATTGAAGCGAAGGCTTGAAAGGTCAGTCGCTTAGGAAAGGCTCAGTTGAAAAACATGCAACAAAAGAAGAGGAAGAAGAAGTTTAGTTGAGAAAGGTCAGGCTCTTCGGCGAATAGCTGCTCGCCAGTTACTCTTTCCCGGATCACTGCAGTGGCTTGTGCGCAAAGTTTTAGCTATTCATAAGTTCCCCCAAGAGAAACCATTTCCGCCCTGTTTTTTTTAATTTTCTAGTTCCAGTGAGTGGACTGAATCTGAGTAACGTCCTTGTAAAATTGTATGCAAAACATCGAACGCTAACTTTTGCCGTGATTCTGCAGGCTAATTTTGCGGCCTAGACTGTGAAGACAAGGGCGTAGAAACTTCTGGGAGAGGAATCCCGCTGCGAACGCGTAAATCGACGCGATCATGGCCATCGGCAGAATCGAACGCACTGGCAAGAGGCTCCCAGAAGCGCCCTGTACCAGAATTTACCGTGTTCTTATCCTGGAAGACATGACCTGATCCATAGAGACATTCGGGGCCAGTGCCTCAGCCCAGCTGAACCGCGGGTCGCACCTTGCGGTGAGTGGGATCTGCACTGCTTGGGATTCATCCACGGGCGTCGGAAGGCAGGGGAGGGTGAGGCGCTTCCCCAGACTCGGCGGAGTTTGACATAATCGTTGCATGAAAAGGAAAGAAAGTGACGTCAGATTTCAGGCCCCCCCCCAGCTTCTGAAGGCCTCTGCCGCCGCTGCGCTCATCTTCTGACAGTACATCGTTCCGCCTAACCGCTCCTGGAGGCGCGCGCGGCGAGCTGAGCTGCCCCGTCGGCATGCTCGAGTACCCCTTGCAAACTGAGCCGGCTGACTGGCGTGGGGTCGTGCCTCTGACCTTTCGTTAACCAGGCGCCACAGAGCACGTCACGGATACGAGAGGGACGCTTAGGTCAGCATTGTAGCGCTGCCGTGTTGTGTCTAGGCAATGCCCAGGAATGTATTTTGTATTGCAAAGGGCCCGTTTGAGCGATCCAATCTGATTAGGTACACAGCTGTACATGGTGCTGCTGGAGCATCATAGGTTCGATTCGCATTGCTTGCTGAACAGATGGGACAAACGAATGAGCTGTTTGGTGTTTGGTAGCACTATTGCTGTAACCAACGGTTTGACCTTGCAGTAACGATTTGCGCTTTATCATCTAGGCTTGAAATATACCTAAAGCACTGGAAGTCCATGAGATTTTGGTCGTGATTTTAGTCGCACTCACTTATTCGTGTAACGTTATTAACGTAACTAACTATGACATCGTTGCACCACTGCTTAACTTCCTGCCTTTCTATTTTGCGTCACGCCATATGCTGCCCATGCCCATTCAGGGACAGATGACTGCGCGCCCCTATGTTGTAAGCGTGCCCACCTAGATGACCTTGTGGTGAAACGCCATTGATCGTACGCTTTCGTCATGGGAGCAGGACCGGCCGAGGGAATATGTAACCGAGAAAGGTATCATTTTACCTTTATTCCATGGGAATTGCTTTGCAGTGCATGAATTATCAACACGCGTTCGGGCGGGATTCAAATTAACCCTCCAAAGATTTTTCCAGAATGGTTTCCGAGCGGCGCGGCGTAGCCACGCCAAATTTTGCATGGCTGTAGACAGTTAAGTAGCGAATTAGTCTGGTTTTAAAAATTGAAGATGTACCTTGTAAGGTCGCTGACCTACGACGGGTTAAAGTCAAGTCATGGATTATGCGAAGTCAGTTTGTAGGGAATCGTTCAATCTGGTGCAACGACGGAATGTTAGACGAGACCATACATCTTTGAGCTACTTTCTTAGGCAACGCAACAATTGAATGAAGAAATTTCATTGACCTAAGTGCAGTTTTGAAGGTCAAACCAAGGTGATAGTCAACCTGCTTTGTTTCTCTAGGGCTTGCTGTAAAAGGTAATTTCTGGTGCTCATTTCGAACTTATAGATAACAGAAACCGCATTATACATCTTCCATGCACTTCTCAAATGTCAGAATAGGTCGCTGGCCCAAAATGATCCGGGTAAACATTTTGCTTTTAAGAAACATACTGTTTAGCGTATTCTTTGCAATGCACAACTCTAAGCAGTCTTGTATGATTTCGGTCACCATGACCAAAAGGTCAAGCAAGGTTACTGACCTAAAATGATCATGTGACCGTTGCTTAGAGCAAATATATTGATTCTTGGGTACTTTGGACACCAAACTGGAGTTTGACCTTGTTTGACCTTATTTGGCCCGAAGGTCATGACCTAGGAACCT